CGCCCTAAGATGGCAGCGGGGGCGCCTGAGGCGACCCCGTCCTTCGTGAGGTAAAATGGCGCCCAGGAACCCCCCGGGAGGGCCACGAGAAGCTCCTGCGCAGAGCCCCTTCCCTACCCTAAATCTGCCCCCCCCCAGCTTCTCATCTTCATCTTTCAGTTTCATCCTCTCCAAACTGCCCTGGATACCTTTTTATGAATCACAATTTTATTTTTCCTCAGCAAAATCTCAACAATCTGTGCATAAGCAGCTTCCTCAGTATTTGGTCATCCTTTTACCAGCTCTTGCCCTGCCCAGCTGAATTATGTGATTGCCTTTTTTTTTTTTTTTTCTTTTGCATTTCAGTCCTCAAAATTAACTTAGTGCTGAAACAAATGAGAATTTAAAAAGTTATGGATGGCTTTACTGATTTTGCTTTAAGTCTCCTTAGCAGAAGGGCATGGGCTTCAGGCTGCAAACCATAGAGGAAAAAACTCCCTGGCTCACATATACCCTATTCACTCTTTGGTACAGGGGAAAACAAACCCTTTTTCCTAATCCTAAATCCCAAACCAGGCAGACCCGTGCTGATGCCCCCCTCAAGCCCCTCTGAGGGTGCTGAGCCTGGCTGGCTCCATCTCCCCGACATCTTGAAACAGGCACCAAGAAAGCAGATTTTTGCAAGGATTTTTGGCACTGATGCACGCCAAACAGCACAAAAGCTGGCCACAAACACATTAAGTGGCACAATACAAAGGGTGATTGTTTAGCAACACATTGCTGGAAAAACCCAGAGGTGTATGACACTTAGTATATGTGCAGAGGCACAAGCAGCAGTTCTGTAGGAACACAGCCAAACTATCATAAAGCTGTGCCATGGTCAGCACACATCTCCTCTGCAGGGATAGAAAGGAATAAACAGCTCCTATGTAAACACTGGCTTGGAGAAACCTGGGATGGGGTCTCTAGATCTGCCTTAGCTTGCTCACAGCAATTTGAAGTGTGGGCTTTCTGATGAAATGCTTGCTCTGTTTCCCATTTTGCAAATGACGAGTCACCACACCTTTTAATACTCAGGATTTGTGTGCTGTATGGAATGCTATCCAGTTTGCTTTACTTGCTTTTCTTAATTACCAGCCTAAACAATCACGACAGCAGCTGAGTTGTAAAGATGAGGGATCAGGCCTGATGCATAAACTGTTCTGGTGCTCTGCATTTGACCAATTTTTTTTTTTTTTTTTTTATATGCAGCCTTCACAAAAGATCTTGTGTGTAAACTTAGAGCCCACAGAACCTGGTAAGTAAACACTCTACTGGATTTAGTCTTGAGGAAAGCATCTGACGTGAATTCCTTGTGACCATCAATTGCCCAAGGGCTCTGATAAAAAAAAAAAAAGCCAGTTTTAAGTTGGATGACTAGATTTTCTCAGCGCTTCTATCACGTGGCACAGCAGAGCAGACCGTGGGTGCAGCATGTTGCTAAAAGCATGTGAGTGTCGAGAGGGTTTAAAAGACCTGCTTTGAGTGGAGACAATAATTTAAGGAATGTGGACTCAGGAAAAAGGCTGTGTTCCATCTAATGTGCAAACATATAATGCAATGAGGTGCCCGTTGCTTCTGTACAAGATTTTGCTTGGAACTGGCATTGCATGTCAGAAGTGCAACTCCTTTGTCCTTACCAGGGTTTTCCTCAAGCCACCGAGGGGAGACCGTGCATTCCATCTGTGCCAGGGATCACCTGTGGCCGGCTGAGGGAGGCCGTCACTCCATCCTTCAACATTCCATGACTTCCCCGGAGATGCTTCGGACAAGGCACTTGACTCAGGTACCATACACTGACTTGGGAAGGAGCCCCACTGTCACCTACAGACAGAGGCCACCCAGGCACGTCCCCGCAGCAGGGTGGGAAGTGGGGCATTCCGCTACAATTACCCAAATGGATGTTTTCAGATAGAAATAACACCTGTTTTTAGCAAAGAAATGCCACCTGTTTGAGAACAGTGCTTGCTGTATTTGGTGTGCCAGCTTTCTCTCCTGCAGATACTTAAATACAGGTTCAGATCTTAAAAACCTCACATAGCCAGACCCTAAATGCAGATTTGTGTCAGGAAGGTTACAAGGACTGGACAACAATTGTAAAATTCTGTGCCTGGTATCCATGTCCCATGAAATGCTTCCCTCACTCTGGGAAACAGGTTTCCATTATCCTCTAGTTTTATAATCAAAATAGAAAAGCAAGGTGGGATAAAGAGCAATGAGTATGTTCCCCTTTTTGCCAGAGGTACTGAGCAGTAAATCTTCAGATTTAGCCAATGCTTAATTACCTTAAAATGCATGTAAAGATGTGCTGCTACCAACCTCAGCGAACCTCGCAGTTAGGGGAGTAGTTTTTGAACAAAATTGGGTAGAGACAGTCTGTGCTTACCCCAGAAATACGGGCTTTAACACAATTTTCATCTGAAAATTTAAACTGTTATAAAAATGTCAGTGACTATCACTTGCCTCATTAGCTGAGGCTTCTAATGTACAATGGGAGCACAGCGTAGGATGGAAAGGTGGTTGCAAAAAAAAAGAGTCTGAATTAAAACAGCTTTTAAATCTAATAAACTAAGCTGCAGTAGAGAGTAGGAATTCTTTTAGGCCAAATTAAATGTGTTGATTGGATTGAAACAGCTCCCCCCACTGTTTCCCTGAAACTTCACTCAAATAATTAGTCCTGAGTGACTCCAAAGATATTTTTCCCTCTAGTTTTGCTTTGAATTGGCTATGAAGGCATAAAAAATCAGTTCTGCTGCTTCAGGTTGTCATGAAATGCTGCGTGAGCCTGAACAGTGTTCCAAGTGAGAAGGAATATACTTTACAGCAAGCTCCTGGGTGCACCGTTACCATTTCACATGCATCGTTCCGTGGGCAGGAAGAGAGGATTGGATTTCAAGTTAATGCCTCCTGTAGCTTGTAAAATAATTCCTGATGAAGTATGTTCATACAAACGAGGTATTGCTGCATGGAAAACAACGAGTCCTAGTGTACATCATCCCCTCACAAAACCAGGCCTACAAATCCTGTCAGCAGAGACCCCTGACACATCTCAGGGAAACCCTTCAGGCTGCAACAGAAGCATGGATCGCAGTTCTGATGACTCAAAACAAAGACAGAATTCCCCCCCTGCTCCTGCAGTGAGTTCCTTACTTCCAGCTAACATGGACTCCTGAGATGCAGGTTGCCATAAAAGATGTTTAAACTCCACAAGATCCAGAAGAGGAAAGATTGTATTTTCCTGGCCAAAATCTCTTTCACAAGGCCACTTAATGGTATATTTAGCATGTGTTGAAACAGGGTGAAGCTGCTTCTGGTAGCCCTTTATTATATTAAAAAACAACCACAACAACAGCAACAAAACCACGATGAGATGCTCCAAGCTACTGCATGACTATCTTTGGGGTTCCCTCTTTTTGTTAAGGTCTTCACAAAATACAAAATTAAATGTCTTTTTCTACATACAGAACAAAGTCGAATCAAGTAACTGATTAGAGTATGTACAAAAACTTACACATTCTGTCTTGTTCTTTAAAAAATATAAATATCAATAATGTTCAGTAAATTGGGTTGGTTTTATTTTTAAGGCTTCATTCTTTTAGATCCTTCATTATTTAATGAGGTGCCAGGTAGGCAGGAAAGGGCAGGAAGAGAGGAGGTCATGTGTTTTATTAAAGGTCATGTGTTTAATTCTTGTGAGACTCTTCCTCATCTCTGGCAGGAGGAGATTTCCCTCCGCATTGATTTAAGTTTCCAGGAAGCAGAGGTGGAACGAAAGGAAAACGAAACCTTTATTGTTGCTATTTTTTTTTTTTCCTTCATTAAAATCTTGTTTTAAACCTGTCTCCTTTCATTGCCTTTGTAGAGAACCATCTGCCAGCTACTTGGATTCAACAGACTGGAGCAGGACTGTGTCCCAGGTCCACCCGGGACAGGTTAGAGTGAGGAAGAGGCTGCTGGAGGTGTTTTACCACCGACCCCCGCGGAGGTAGCAAGTGCTGCAGCCAGGGCAGCTGCTGCCGCTGCATCCCTGGGTGTGAAGTCCGTGGGGAGGCTTTCCATGAGGCACTTGAGCTGCTCCTGGCCCAGTTTGATTTTATCATCCAGCTCCCGCTGCTCGATGAGGAGCGCGGACTTCATCTTCACAAAGTGCTGGTAATCCTGGAGCTGCTCCTCGGAGAGGTAGTTGCCCAGGATCTCCAAGACCACCCGTTCCCTACGGTCAAGGTTTTCCTTGAGTTCCCGGGCGTCTTCGTGCTGGCCAGCCAGCAGCTTCCTCTTCTCGTTCAGTGAGCTCTGCACACACCAGAGACAGCCCTTCAGTACCAGCAGCACTGAAATCCCTGCTCCCCCCTTCTTCCTCCTAGCACCACCTCTGGGGCTGGCTGCTAAGCTCCCAGACACGATTCAAAAGCCTGGGAGAGGAGGATGAATCCCTCATTACAGATTGAATGTGAATCCCACTGAATTGGACTCTGAACATTCTAGTCAACAGGAGGCAGAAAGTGCTCCAAGGAAGTCAGTAAAACTTGCCTGAAAGCAACAACTACCAGGAAGATCTGGCTTTGTCCTCTCAAAAACCACCCAAAGAATGCTAAGATGTGGCTTTCATTGAGTGTGTTATTCCAGGAGGCACAGCGCCACCCAGGCTCTCCTCCAGCCGTGGGGCACAGACAAGCTGTCCCCAGCATGGCCCTTCTGTGGCAAGACAAAAGCTGCAGGATCCCCAACATTTATACAAACCGGGATCCAGGTTCCCAAGGACAAACCCTGCATTTGCTACTGCTCATAGGTAAGCTCCAAGACACCTGTGCTGCTTTCCTGGCAGCCCTTGGAAGTCCTTTTAAGGTATGCTGTTGTGATGGCTGCTGCTGCTGCTGCCCCACATCCCGGCAAGGCCAGACACCGCGGATACCTACCCGCTCCTCACTGTTGGCATTTTCCCCCAGACTACTCAGGACATTCTCCACACGGGCCAGGCGTCCCGAGAGGGAGAGTAAGAGGTTCACCACCTTATCCAGATCGCCAATGAACATCTTGTACTTGTCAAACTCGTTGGGTTTGCACAGCGTGCTGATCAACAGCTCCACCTCCTCTCCGAGGGCGTTATTCATCTTAATGTCTGCGAGCAGGCCCTCCTTGGCTTCCTTCAGGATTTCCAGTTTGTGGGTCAAGCTCCCGATGAGCTCAGCCTGTCAGAGGGGAAACACATGGCTACCATCACCCTGATCACATGGATGACGACAAGAGGATAGGGCTGCGGTTCCTGAGGAGCAGGGTCGTGTCAGCAACAGCTGACATAAAGAAGGAAATGGAGAGAACACTGGAATTCCTCATCTACGACATAATCCAGGTAGCTGCTGAGATTGTGTGAACATGTGTGTGCTCCTTGAACAATTATAGACAAGATCTCAGATTTGGTGTACTGTGTCCTGATATCCAGCTACCTACAGCTGAAACATGTATGTTCTTTAAAACCTCCAAGCAAAAAGAGCTACAGTCACATCTCTGGCATGTTCTCTACTCCCTGTCCCAGCCTGAAACATCTTGAATGGTACAAAACAACTGCCTCCCACACAGAGACATCAATCAAGAGTTTACACCAACGATGCTCTAAGTTTCATCAGTGTCTGAGCAAAGACACAGAGAGCACAAACCCACTTTGAGAAAAATGCTGGCAACTATTTCCCTGCCAAAGAAGAGGAGGCCCCTGGGCTTCGGTTATTCCACAAACAGCACTGCTGCACAAGTGCCCGAGATCCTAATTTCTGTTAGGATTTAGTGGAAAGACATATGCAAAAGCAAGTCTGTGGCCTGGGGCTTGCCATTCTTGCTTCCATTTACTCAGAACTGTAAGCAGGAAAAGCTCTTCCTACAAGGGGTGAGGATTATGTCTCCAGCTCGTGCACTGCCGAGGCCCCGTTACTCCTGTGTTAATCTGCTGTGAAAATATTCTCTCCCAGTCCTGTTTCCATCCAAACTGAGTGTCACTGCAGGCAGGAGGCAGTCTGCTCCAGAGCAGGAAGGATCTTCAAACACTGGTGAGGCAGGGGGGATCACTGAGCTGGCCCTGGTGCCCAGGGTGGCCTCTCAGTGGGGTCCCAAGGCTGGGCTGGCAGTGGGAAGCACATGGCACTGTAAGGCCAGGCACCACTAGATGGAACACTTGGCGTGCTTTGTTCTGGGGCTGCACTACAGCCTGTTCTCAGCTGCCACACACATGCAGAGGCTGAACAAAAGGTGAGGAATATTCCCTTAAAATTAACACCACCCACCTGGAATGACCACTGTCACTCCACTGGTGCAGGGTAGCTCAGAGAGAGAGGGAGCAAAGGTGGTACTGAATCAAAAGAAATGTCTTTCTGTGGATTCTCCCTTCAGCAGTACCCAGAGACAAAGCCTAACATTAGTCCTTCCCAGGGGCTATGATGCTGTTCCTCCCTGCTGCAGCAGCTTTGCCCTCCAAAGCAGGAGGCAGGGACTGCTGGGAGTGACGAACCTTTGTTCTGAAGGTTGGGGAGTTGGAGGGGCCTGTGAAATACTTCTGTGTTCATTAATCAGTGACTCTCCTGCAATCCCAAATGCCAACCGACCTTTGCACGCTTACAGTGCAAATGAGCTTGGTTCAGCCACACGACCTCCCAGAGGAGCTGCTTCTCAGGTAACCCTTGTGCAAATGTTCTTGCACACAGACCATGTGCAAACACACCAGGCAGATCGTGCTGCCTGGGCCTAATCACTCCCATCTGTTTCTGGTTTTCCATGCAAATGTAACCTTTAAGGCCTGGGACTTGCCCTCCGTGGCAGGCTCACAGCTACTTGCAAGCCTGTCAGACGCAGCATCTTCATCTTGTTTAGTCACTCCCAATCCCTGTGGCTCCTTGGGATTTGGGAGCTAGGCAACATGTCTGTAATTACCAAGTAACGAATATGAGACAACCACAGGGGCAAATTAGAAGGCCCTGCAAAAGCCCTGGAAGGCAGAGCACAGAAGCCTCCAGTGAGAACTAGAGGGGCTGTTCCACAGTGAAATGTAGCCTCAGTGAGACAGGGAAATGTTTCCTCCCCTCCTGCCCTGCTCTCTTCCCTCCCAAGCCATCACGTGAAGGTTGAACTACTGATGTGCCCGTGGCTTTCAGTAGGTTAGAGAAACAATGAAGTGTGGGGGAAAAAGAGAAACCAATGTTTCTTTGGGAGCAGTGAGTGCAGGCAGCAGGTGAAATGGCTTCACTGAAGAGGAAAGTCCTAGGGTAAAACTTCCTGCCCTCAGAGAGTGCAGTCACTAGCTAGACTCTGTTCCTGTTTCCAACCTGAGCTGGCCTTGCTCAAGTTGTTTCACCTCTCCCTTTTCCATCCTTGCTACAGGACTGGGACTGTTCCTTACAGCCTGTACACCCAGCATTTGGCATGGTACAGGCCAGCCTCGGGGTGGTGCAAGATATGTACTCAGTTTGCAGTGAGTACTCAGATCAACCCTTTTCATTCAATTTGGGTCACTCTAATGAAGCTTCACCGGTGGCCTAAACGCTCCCACGCAACTTGAGAGCTGCCAAAAGCTGCCAAATAGAAATGCACTTCCCTTTAGGGCTTATTGTTACTTCAGGAATGTAAGCAGAAAGCGGTGGTGTGTGCTGAATTTACCTTCTTCTCATTGATGTCCAGCAGCTCCTCTTCCTCGCCTACTTCTTCTGGCAAGTCCTTGATTTTATTTAGCAGCTCTGCTTTGGGTGCTGAAACGCTGTAATAAGCAGGACAGGTGACCAGGGTGGCAGGAGCTTCCTTTTCCTCTCTCCTATGCCGCAGAGAAGAAAAAGGAGGAGTTCAGTGGGAGCCTGACTTATCCCCATGCCTAGATTGATGGTTTTCCAGCACTGCCTGTTCGGTCCCTTCCCCGTGTCATTACCCACAGGGACAAGGCGGATCGCTGCCACCGGAGGGCGCGTGTCAGCTGCTGGCACGGCCCAGCACAGCCCCTGGCTTTAAAGGTGGCTGGTTACGGCTCTGGACAGGGTTTAGCCTGCTGGGGGTCAGTCGGCACGGCTCGGCTGGAGGTGGCCACACTGGCCATCTCACCTGGAATTGTGCTGTGCAACTGATTCCTGGATGGTTCTCCAGCGGCCACTTGTGAGCTTCTATCTTAAAAAAACCCACACTGGAGCACTTGGGCTGACCTTGCAGTAAATAGGTGCCCTCGAGCCTCCTTCCATATTTTGGCCTGTCATTATCTTTCTGCCTGCCATGATTTTCATAGGGATTTTACTCTTGTATCTATTCCTGCACTTTGGACTGAATTGTTTCAGCTTGCAAAGGTCCAGAGAGCAAAATTAAGTAACATCTCCAGGGCTGGTTCATCTCCTGCCCTGTTACCAAGCTCAGCATTGCTTCCCACACAGCCCAGCTCATGAGAAAGGGTGTTTGGAACTGCCCTGCAGCTGGGAACTGTGGAACTTGCTCTCCACCAGAGCCCACCTGTAGAGATGCAGACACACTGGGCACAGGTCAGCCTTAGAAGTGAGGGAGCCGGGAGCTGTGCCAGCCCTCACCCCAATCCCGCAGTGCTTACGTGTCCTCCCTGACGGCCGTCCTGCTGGCTTGCTTCTGCGACATCTTCCTCTTCATGTTGTTCTCCTTCAGCAAGCTGGTTCCGCTGGGGAAAATCCCTTCCATTAAGTCCATGGTAGTCTTCATTTTGGAATCTGGATCCAGGATATCTGCCAGAGACTTGTCTTTGTGGACAATTTCTTTTGCCAGAGCCTCTGACTTAATGTCCTCTGGGGTCTTTTTCTTTGCCTTCACTGGGGGTGCTGTGCCGAGCATCCCAGAGTCGGGGCTGGTGTTTTCCAACTCTGGCTCTCTGGGGTCACCTTCAGGCTGAGTTATGGGCTGTGTATCAGTGCTTTGAGACCCTTCAGAAGCAGCAGGTGACTGGTGCTGCTGGTCCACAGCAGATGGAGAGCTAGTCCTCTTTGATGCAGTTGGTGAGAGGGG